AAAACAGAATCTGATATGCTCAGGATTTGAGCACTTAATTGAAAGTGGAAATAAAATAATCTTGGAATATGGAGAGAACACAGGCTTCCAGAGCTTTCCTGACCTTTTAGGAACCCCATTATCTGCTCAATTAAGTTGTATGCACGCTTGAAGAATGCCCTCAGGATGGAATGTCTGAACACAACTTGTCATCATGGAAATGGGGCAGTGTGGCCAGTAGCTGGAACAGGATTCCATTTCCCCTGCTTCCAGGTGGTGGATTCTTACAGTGGAAGAGCCTTTCAGTGGTGCCTGAAGACACGAATGTTATGCCCAGGAGACCCCCAAAGACCACACCACCAGACAAGTCAAATTAAAGAGGAGTCTTTTTATTGAAGAGCCGGCCAGCGACTGTCCCAGTGTCCCAACATGGGGTTTCTGAGTGCAGCCCCACGCTGTCTAAGGCTCCGATTTTTATAAAGCAAAATATTTCCAAGGGGTGGATAAACATAGTCATAGAAGCAAACAGCAGTTAGGGGAAATCGGGAGGGCAAGGCGGCTTAGTGAGTTTACACAAGGCCATGATCACGAGAGCAATGAGTAATTTTACAAAGCAGGCACAAACCACAATGTCCTAAGGTAATGTAGGGAGGGGGACTCACAGGTGAGGGTCATAAACACCATGATCATAAAAAGCTATAATCACAGGGGCTACATGGTCAGTAACTTACAGTACTAACACTTTTAGCTAAAGGCATTTACAGTTACATGGGGAGGGAAAACAAGAGGAACTGGTTTTGAAGATAAAAAGGAGTAAATAGTAAAATGGAGTTAAGCTTGTTCTGTTAACATTTCAATATGATATACGGATGGTTTGAAGATCACTTTAACATCATCACAAAGGTTGTTCGTTACAAGGGTAGTTAGTGGCTTTCTACACAATATTAATAATTTTAACAGTTCTAACCATGTATACTTAAAATACTATGAATGGGCAGGGAGGCAAGCAGAACTGGGTCTTTTTTCTAAAGCAATAAAATGTAACAAAACAACAGAATGGAATCAGGCCTGCCGCCTGCTTTGCCTTCCCACTGATTCTCTGGTATAAGAGTTATAACAAAATGGATTTGATTTCCCACTGATTCTCAGGAACAAGAATTATAACAAAATGGAGTTAGGCTTGCTTCTCTTTTGCCTTAAAACGAAGGGGTAAGGGATGGCTTTCTGATCCATTTTCAAGATCTTCGGGGAAAGGCGTTTCCATTTAATAAACATGCCTTGTGCCAGGAAAGTGCGTCCGTTTCGGTAGAGTGCACTGGAGCACTTCCACACCCATTAGCTCTGCTTCATCTTGCTAATAACTTGGATGCAAGACAGACCTGTCATCATTTTCCTATTTTACCCCAATAATCTGAGTGTCTTCTGTGCATGAGGCCTTGGGGTGCAGATTTGGGCCAGGACCCTGGGGCCGGCCTTCCCTTTTACTCACCTGCACTGCCTCTCAGTCATCCTGACTCACTGAATGAACACTCTGTGACCGTCTACTCCCCCGAGGGCCTGAGCCAGGCATGTGAGTGGCCCACAAAGTGGGTGGGACAGAGATCTTGGCCTGTAACAGGGCAGGTATGGACACATGCACACCGACGTGGTGTGAAGCTCTTTGGGTGAGCACCATGTGACTGGCACCAGCCACAGTCCTGTGATCCTGTCACACAAGCACAGCCAGCCAGGATGAAAACTGAAGCTGTTGAGACGCTGGAAGCCCTGCCCACCCACAGGTGCTAAGCTGACGCAGCAGCTGCCTACAGGCCCGTGCATGCCCACACATGCCCACAGAGCAGTGGGGAGGCTAAACACATCTGCCCCCCGGCTTTTGGAAGTCAGTGTTCCAGTTCACACCTCCGAGTCCTCAAGCCTGTTGTTGACAAGGCCATCACTATCCTGTGTTGTTCATTTGCTGTTAACCCAGTTCTCTGTTCCTCCTTCCCCTACCTACCCTTCCACTGCACTCTCTGGAGCTGTCCCCCTCATGGCTGTGTCAGCCGTCTTTGGGGCACTATTCACCTTTGGCCCTCTCAGGTGGTGGCTGTTTAGTTTCTCAAAGGTCATAAACCAAAGCATGAGGAGGTAAGGTGGCATCATACATTCCAACCCTCCACCCAAATAAGCTGGAATGAATAAAAAAAGAACAATTTAAGCTACATTCCCTGGACTCTTCCCAAAGCCAGAGTGCAGAGCCTTGACCTGGCCTCTTCATCAGAGGCACTGACAGGAGGCCTGGGGGTGGAGGGGAGTCAGGTGCCTGGGAGAGATGAGGTCGTCTGACAAGCACAGTGAAGGGAGAGTCTGACCAGCTGTGGAAGTTTCTAGAATCCCATCCCCAAACAGGAACAGAGCAGCAGGGCGGGCAGGAACATTTCTTCTGGCTGTGTCACTCTAAGACTCATTGTCTCAGGTGAGCCTGGTTCTGTGGCGCTCCCAGACTCAGCCAGACTGAATTCTACTTTCTGCAACTAAGAATTTGACCCACTCATTTGTTCAGTCCCTGTCCCAGTATTTACTGAGCACCCAGTTTGTGCCAGGCACTGTTCTATGCTGGGGATTCAACAGGGACCATGACAGACATCATCTCCGTCCTCACGGAGCTTTCAGTTGCGGGTGAGAGGTGAACAGACATTAGACAAGGGGAGGGTAAGTGGCAGATAGCAGGGCACACTCAGTTCCTGTTTCTTATTTCCCTCTTTCCAGGGGCTCTTTGTAGCTGGCTGAAGCTAAGGTCGAAAGAATAATCTCCAGGTCCTCGACATCCTGTCCCCCAGAGTGACATTCCCCATGTTCTGTGCCAGACTCAGCAGCATGTCAAGTCTTCCACTTCAACAGTCCACAAACCAAGGTGTGCAGGAAACAGAACTTGACTGGAGCTAACAAGTTCTAGTTCAAGTCAAAGACCAAACCTTTTTGTTTCCCAGGCTTCCATCTGAGTTCTATCCAGGTGGTCTTTTGAAGACATCGGAGTAGATGTCTGCCATCTGCCTGTGCTGACACCCCCAGAGAGGTCCACCACCCCTCAGCCTTGGTCTTGTAAGGGCTCCCCATGTGCCTGTCTGCCTGGGTCCCTCGAGGTCAGTGACTTTTCTGCAGGCCCTTGGGGACATGCAAGTCCCAGAAATGGCTGGCTGAGGTCCTTGCTGTGCAGAGGCACTATGGGGTCGTGTCCGCTCACTGGGTTCTAGCTGCCTCCCTGTGGCCTCCTCAGCAAGGGGGAAACAGTTCCTTTCCTCTCCAGATGCTGCAAACCTCCTCACCCCCCACTTAGACAAACAAGACAGGTCTTCTTCCCCTGAGACAAGGAGTATCTCCCTCTCGTTCCTTCTCCCTCTCGAACCCCTCCTATTCTCAGTGGGGGAAGAGGATCCATTGCTCTGATTTGGGTTATCTCTACAATGTTTTTTGCGTGCCAACAATTCATTGCTTTCCCCAGAGGGACTGAGCTTCTGGAATCAACAGTTCCGTGGAAGAGAGCATATCTTCATTTCCCCACTTCCTGCTGTGCTGATTCTCCCCTCCAAGGCAATGAATTTGGAACCCTTTAACTTTTTGAAAAGTTAGAGGAGCAAAGTATCTTAAGGAAATATGTGATGAAGAAAGGAGAAGGGAAGGAAACAGCTAACATTTTTGTAAAATCACTCCACAGACAATAAGACACAACAGAAGAACTGGAACAGGCTAGTGAGAGTGAAGACAGGGGAAGAGAAGAGAAGGGGACACCACTGGGGTGGGGCCACCCCTCATTCTGTGGCTGGCTGTCCTGGGGCTTAAATGAAGTTTGAAATAATCAAGTTACTTGCTGATCTTTTCATCTACAAGCCAGGATTTTCCCAATGAAGAGACTGCTCAAGCCAGTTGTAGACCGAGCTTTGCCTTGTCAAGAATAGCATTTCTGATCTGTAGAGTTCTCCTTTACAAGGTAGCAATGATACGGAGGAAATGATGACTGCCCAGAGTCATGATAAAAAAGAGCCAGACGTGGATAGACCAGTCTCAAAGGGCAGAATGAAGGAATAAATTAAACTCAAATGTCAAACTCAGCCCAAAGGTACACAGACAAACTATATGATGTTGTAAGTAAGTGAAGACTGAAAGTGAAGCTTTGAGTAGACAGAAAAGACCGGAAAAAAAAAAGAGAGAGAGACCCAGTAGGAACGAACAGTAATTAGAAACAGGCAAGTTCCTGCTGCGTAAAGAAGTACGTACCCACACATAAATACATTTAAGATGCTTAAATCAAGCTTTTGGTAAATCGGCAGATTTGATAAATATTAATGCCTCATTCATCAACTGGCAAGTAGATATTTTGAGAATCAACTGAAGTCACTTCTTGATAGCGTCCGGAATCTAAATTAGCCTCTAGACCCCAAACCAGGACTCCAAGTTTAATGTCAATCGGTGATGAGGTCATACCTATACTATAAAATTCTGGTTCTACATCTGAAATTTACTTTTACTGGGCTCCTATATTTTATCCTGCCCCTGGGCCATACTTAATAAATCCACATACAGGGTTCTCCGGTCGTTCAGCAATTTTAAAATATTAAATGAAAGACTTGTTTTGTTTTTTACTTAAGTCTAAGTCGCAAATTCTCCTAAACGACGCGTCCTCGCCCCCTCCTGGCAGACCTTCAGCGGCTCTGGCCTGCTGGTCAGAGCGAGAAGACCCTGCGCAGGCGCAGAGTGGCCGGCGGTCGGGACGGCGTCTGGGATCTGCCGCGGGGATTTTGCGCAGGCGCAGAGCGGGCCTCACGCTGAGGCTGCGTCCCTGTCCCTGGCGAGTAGCTGTCCGCGCCCTCTCCGCGGGGCGCCGGCCCTGGGTCTCCTGCCCTCGCTGCGCCGTCTATTTATATCGCTCGGTCGGCACAGGCCTATATTGGGCAATGCCGTCAGCGGGCCGCCCCGCGCCCTCCACCCGGAGCGTCCGGCGGCGCCATCGCGGGTGGCCGGTGCGGAGCGAGCGGGGCTGCGCCTCGAGCCGGGCGGCACCTCCGTAAGTAGGCGCCGAGGGACGGGACCCGGGCCCCAGTCGGAAGCCCCGGTTCGGTCCGGGCCAGGCGGGAGGGCGGCGCCAGCCTCCCGGCCCAGGCACCTGCCGGTCCCGCTCCTCGAGCGCTCCCCGGGGCCCGCTGCGGTCAGGGCTCCCTCCTCTGCCCAGCCGGGGCTGCGCCCTCCTCGGCGCGTCGTTCAGCCTCTAGCCCTCATATTACCATTCTCTGAATTATCCCACGAATTTTTTTGCCTTCCTCCTAGACCGTAAGCGCCCTAAAGTTAAGGGCATTTCTGCCTTTGTGTTCTGGGTTTTCTTCTGAGAACCTGGAAGCGTGCCCGGCACTTAAAGGGGTTCGTTTAAATTCAGTAAACTTTGAACGTATCCCTGAGCAACTCTCCCAACTTTAAAGCCTGGAAAATAATTGCCCTACATTTTCCCCACAAGAGTCTTAAGAGGAACTAATGAGCTATAATGCGTCTCAGAGCGCTTTGAAAAGTCTAAAGCTCTGTGAGAAGGCAGGACGTGGGTAAAGGAAGCTTGTCCTACTGGCCCTTCTCGGGCGTGTACCTGGCTGTTACTAATGCCCAGTGCGTGGGATGGATTAGTGCTATTCAGTGAAGCGGGTCGTTTTCCCCCCAGTAAGAAAGTCAGACCCTATTTCCGTGGCATATGTGTTCTGAGCCATTTTCTACCAGCCTCTGTAAAGTGTGGGATTTGAGTAAGATGATGATACACAATAGGACGTGGACAGGCGTTATTATAAACTAAGAGGAACAAGCTTAAATGGCTGTAGGGCGATATAAATGGACCCGTCTGAGAAGAGCATTGGCCTAAGAAGTGACAGACACTCAGATCTCAATAGGGGATGAAGAGGGCAGGGCAGTCGGTGCGTGGATGTGACATCTGAGAGGCCGCAGCAGGCCACTCAGGGCCTGCACACTGTTCTTACATAGGAATTAAGAACTCACTGTTGCTGTATCTTTGAGTTTTTCAATATATGTGCTGGACTGTTTCAACTTTGCACATTGACACTAATTTACAAAAAAAGCAAAAGGCCTGTGGGTAGCCCATTTGTGATCTCTGGCACAAGTAATGCCAACAGGAGGCTTCATTTGTTCTCTAAGAATTGAGGCAGATGATGTCCAGGAATTAATTTTGAGAGTAGGAGTGAAAAATGGGTGTCACAAATGCATCAACCTGTAAGCAAGGGAGTCAGTGATTCTGAATGATGTATATGATTGAAAAAAGAGAGTAGCAGGGCAGCGCCTGTGGCTCAGTGAGTAGGGTGCGGGCCCCATGTGCCAAGGGTGGCAGGTTCAAACTCAGCCCCCGCCAAACTGCAAAGAAAATAGCCAGGTGGTGTGGCAGGTGCCTGTAGTCCCAGGTACTCGGGAGGCTGAGGCAAGAGAATCACCTAAGCCCAAGAGCTGGAGGTTGCTGTGATGCTGTGAGCTGTGATGCCACAGCACTTTACTGAGGTCGATAAAGTGAGACTCTGTCCCCTCCCCCCGCAAAAAAAGGGTAGCAGCTTGAAGCACTAAGCATGAGCAAACAGGAAAAACACAGACCGTTTTCTCCTCTGTTTCACACCGCAACAGTCAACACAGAAGACTTCTGTGACCTGTAGCCACCCAGAAATATGTGGAGACTTTTCCCCATCAACAACTGATAATTTCGTAGCAGACGCCAACTGGTGTCCTCCGGTTCACTTATGGCATGATCTATCTGCAGATACCATCAAATCCCACAGGGCAAGGGAGGGTTCAGTCCCACAAGACAACTGCCTCCTTTCAGAGGCCAGTAGAAAGTCACCAGGCTTCCAGGACTTCTAACCAACAACCTTCAAGTTAGGGTTCTCCCCTTGGTTTCAACTGTAATAATTTACGAGACTAGCTGACAGAATTCAGAGTTTCTGAATAAGCTTACCAGAGTTTCTGGTAAGCTGAAGTTTACCAGCTTAACTATGAGGGATAGTTCAAAGGACACGCATGAAGAGATGTACAGGGTGAGGTGCAGGAGAAGGGGTAGGGAGGGTCCATGCCTTCTTCCAGGAACTCCCACGTTCAGCTGTCCTGAAAGATCCTAGAGTTCTGTCCTTTTGGGGTTTTATGGGGCTTCATTACATAGCATGATTGATTAAACTGTTAGCCATTAGGGATCAACCTAACTTTCTGACCCCTCCCTTCTCCTCACCCCAGAAGTCAAAGCGGGGGACAGTGAAAGTCCTAACCTTCTAATCATGCCTTGATCTTCCTGGTGACCAGCCCTGCCCTGAACTACTGTGTTTCCCCGAAAAAAGACCTACACAAAAAATAAGCCCTAGCAGGATTTCTATGCATTTGTTAAATATAAGCCCTACCCCAATAGTAAGACCTAGTGATGGGCAGGGCTAGGTAGCATATCTGCATAGCCATACCATGCATTTCAGCTGAGAGTGGTAAGGAATACAGATACCTTTTATCTGTCACAGCTCCTTTCTTCAAGCCATTAGCACTTGTGCAGGTTACGCATGTGGTAACCACGTTCGCAGGCATCCTATTGCCCACGTGCAAACGGCTAGGGGAGTTCACGTATCACTAGTGCCAGCCCCACCAACAAGGTCGGCTCCCCTGTCAGGTTCCAGAAGACGACTTAGCTGTATTTGAATAAATGCAGAATGTTGTATTATACTTAATAAAAATAAGACATCCCCTGAAAATAAGCCCTAGTGTGTCTTCTTGAGAAAAAATAAATATAACACAGTATCTTATTTTTGGAGAAACACAGGAGCAGGGGCTGCCAGCCCTCACTGAACCCGTTAGCATGCAAAAATAAATGATCACTTTGGAGACTCAAAGGATTCTAGGAATTATCTATCAGGACATGGATAGAGGACCAAAAATACAGTTTACAATACCATGGTGACTTTTGTATGTAGAAGGAAAGTCTTCTAGATAAGTGGTTTATTAACAGGCATAAAACCTCAAAAACAAAAAAGTTCTCATGAACTTGCAATTTAGGACTAAGCAATCATTAATTGAGCAAACCATATTGAGCAACTGTTATGTATCGGATATTGTCACAGACAACAATACAGAAGTAAGATGTGAGTCCCTCCCAAGGCAAGCCTGTGCAGAAGTGTGTGGCAGTGACAGTGCAGCAACCACAATGCACAAGGTGAGGGCCTGGGCGCCAGGTGCCCTCTGAGCTGAATCTTGAAGGGCCAGTTACATTTTTTCAGGTGGATGGGGGGAAATATTTCTGACATAGAGATGCCCACGTGTAAAGATAGAGAACAGCATGTGTAAAGAAAGGCATGGGTGTTGTTCAGTAGCACTCGAAGGTTGAAAGATGTAAGGAAGGAAAGGTGAGGGATGAGGCAGGAGAGGTTGGGAGTTGCCAGGATGCCTGAATGATAAGCAGTGTCGGTGAGAGTAGGCCTAGGACAATCTTTTTTAATACGGGGTAATTTATACATACTAGTCAACCCCTTACAAAAGGGGTTTTTTCCCCCGGAGAGATTTTGTGTTATATATTGGAACTAGCACCTCCTTTTTTGATATCATTATGTTCGGATTCCTTGGTTTGCCAACCGACATCTGTTAAAGGTAGTTTTAATCAGACTATAGACTTGAGAAGCCTATCCCAGTCATCTCTTGGTCTTCGGGTTTTCGTCCGTAAAAATCAAGGCTTTGGTGTTGATCACCTGTATTATGTGACGTGGTCAGACTTTATTCTTGTGATACATATAAATTTTTGCAATTCATATTTTCTCGTGATTATAACCTACTCACCATAATGAACATTTCTATGGGAAAAAACACAGAGCTGTTTAGGAATACAGTAACTTCTTTTTTCACTGAAGCAGGATTTTTGCTCTTGTCAAACAGACCAAAGCCAGGAAAATTAAAGAGGGACAAGCCATAGGTTTGCAAAGCAGTTCTCATTCAGACGAGAAGAGAAGGTTGTTATTTGTTATATTTTCTGGTCCCTCATGAATTGGGATGCCTACATCTTGACACTTAAAATTCATAATGTATCTATGTGTTAGCTCTCTCCTTCATAAGTATATACATACGTACATTATGTCAAATAATTCACAGATGTGGTTTTCAACAGGAGTTAAACCTGTAAGTGGCTGCTACAGATTTTTTAAACTCTAAACTTATCCAATATTTAAGATATGCAAAAATGCATCAAGAGTAATAAAGTGTGCATTGGGTACCCACCAAACAGCAGGAGAAATCAAACATTTATCCAGTTGAAACTCCTTCTTCACCGTACCCCCTCCTTCCTCTTGAAGTTGCTCACTATCCTGAATTTGTTGTTTATAATTTTCCTTCATGTCTTTATATTCCACTAGAGTTGGGCAGATCTTTAAATTATAATTTTTAAACTCTTTATTTTGGTATAACTCCAAACTTACAGAAAAGTTAAAAGGATATTACAAAAAACTCCCATATAACCTTTACCAGATTCACCAGCTGTTCATATTTACTTTGTCAGAATACATCATCGGCATTTAATCTGTTAGGATATAAAACATTGTTTTGTATAGTATTAATATACCAATGGTAGAAAGAATGTGTTCTCCTGTCTTTTTAGGTTTGTCTGTATTAATAGATGTAGATAATAGTTGACTCTTTTTTTCTTTGCTGTAAAATATTCTCTTGAATGCATATGCTACAGTCTATCTGATCTCCTATGACTGGATAGTTCGGTTATTTCTTTTTTTTTTTTTTTTTTGAGACAGAGCCTCACGCTGTCCCCCTGGGTAGAGTGCTGTGGCATCACAGCTCACAGCAACCTCCAACTCCTGGGCTCAAGCGATTCTCCTGCCTCCGCCTCCCAAGTAGCTGTGACCACAGGCGCCCGCCACAATGCCCAGCTATTCTTAGGTTGCAGCCATCGTTGTTTGGTGGGCCCAGGCTGGATTTGAACCCGCCACCTTAGGTGTATGTGGCTGGTGCCTTAGCCACTTGAGCCACAGGCGCCGAGCCTAGTTCAGTTATTTCCAAAAG